GGGAACTCCCTTCTCATCAGTGCAGAGGCGGAAAAGGATCTTGCAGTCATCATTGACTCCAAGATGAACATGGCCCGGCAGTGTGGGGACGCAGTCAGGAAGGCCAACCACACTTTGTCATGCATCCACAGATGCATCTCGAGCAGGTCCAGGGAGGTGATCCTCCCCCTCTATGCGGCACTGGTCAGGCTGCAGCTGGAGTACTGCGTCCAGTTCTGGGCGCCGCACTTCAGGAGGGACGTGGACAGCATCGAGAGGGTCCAGAGGGGGCCACTTGCATGACCAGGGGGCAGCAGGGCAGGCCCTACGAAGAGAGGCTACGGGACCTGAACCTGTTCAGCCTCCACAAGTGAAGGCTGAGGGGGGATCTAGTGGCCTGTTACAATCTAGTCAGAGGGCATCAGCAGGCATTGGGGAGTCCCTGTTCCCCCGAGCACTGCCAGGAGTGACCAGGAATAACGGTCACAAGCTGGCAGAGGGGAGATTCAGACTAGACATCAGGAGGCGCGACTTCACGGTCAGGGCGGCTAGGGTCTGGAACCAACTTCCAAGCGAAGTGGTGCTGGCTTCTACCCTGGGGGCTAAGAGAAGGCTTGACAATCACCTTGCTGGGGTCGTTTGAGCAGCACTCCCAGGCCAGCCTGGTGCCCGATGCCCACGGACTGGCATCCTCTGCCGAGGGCTCTGCCCCTCCTGCCCCAGGCACTTCAGAACTTGGCCAAGGAGACCAGAGCCATGTGAGCTGCAAATCTCCAAAGCCAAGCTGCTCTGACTAGGTAATTAAGGAGGTTGCCTGGTGGTGCTGCCACAGCCACGAGGAGACGGCCAGTGAGCCTCTCTTCCTGGAGGTGAGGCTTTCAACACAGGCACTGTCTCATCTGAAGGCCTCCTCCTCCTTCTGGAAGCACCATCAGCCCCAGGCTGCGTGTGAACTTCAGGTCACGCTACATTTTCATGCCATCACACTCCTGGCCCAGCTGTATCTCTTTGCTCCAGTTGGGGTGGCAGCAGGGGAAATGCCCTGACTGAGGTAATGCAATTAAAATGGCAGTGTAGCGGAGGGTGCACCCTTGTCTGCTCGCGGACAGGACTCCCTACGAGAGCCTCATAGTTAGCTTCCCACTGGCTAGCTTGCAGTCAAAGGATCTTGGCTACACGCTGACTTTATGGAAACGGGAGACTCTTCCCTAGCTTGCTCCTGCAGCCGTACGGCCAAGGGCGAGTGAAACTTGGGGGCATCTGACCCCAAGCCTCCAGGCTTGGGCCTGCTCGTAGGGTGCCTGCCAAAAGATCTGGAAGTATCTGAAGCCCCAGGCTGTAAATTCTGGGCTGAAGGATACTTGCCGGTAGTAGGGCCATTATGGTTCTTGAATGACTCAAAGGATTTGGAACTGATCTGGCTAATTTGACCTGGGACATGAAAAAATTTCCTTTAAACAAAAAAATTCTTGGTTTCCTTGAACAGTTTCCCCAGGAGGTATTTTTATAAAAGAAGGACCATTTGCAACTTAATCCCAGTTTTGATAGAAACTAGTAAGTGCGAAGGTGGGAATGCCAGCACTACGGGCACCTCTAAGCGAGGGGCTCCCTAAGAGAGCAAACAGAATGGGTCCTTCCCCCGGCGCGGCCCACTGCCTGTCTCTTTAGGTTCGTTTCTGTGTTGCTCATCAGCCTAATATCTGACCCCCTCCATGCCTCCTTCAAAAGAGGTACCCTCTGGGGACTGCCTCTTTTTCTGTACCGTACAGCTCCAAGCACACTGGCGGCGCCAACAGATCAGGGATGCAACTTGTCGTGTGTGTTAACAGGAGGCTGGCTGAGCACCTGAGCCTTAAGGACGACGCACGGTTATTTCACACAGTGGCTTTTACAGAGAACCCACAGCCACAACATTGTACGTCACAGGACACAAAGAAGGGTAACCGCCACAAAGCATGTACCAGGATCAGCTCCTCTGAGCACGAAACAGAAGCCGCGTAAAGGGAATCAGATGGTTCAAAACCCAACTCACCTTACTAGCGCCCGGGAGTAAGTGCAACTTGACATAGGGATCTGCCAAGCCATTGTGGTCCATTGGCTTGAGGCCCTGAGGAGGAGAAAGGGAGAGGAGGAGAGGTTACAATTCCAGCACACCACAGCTCTTTGCTCTTCAGACCAAGGGTGAGGGCTGTGACCCAGGGCCCCAGCTCAGATGCTTCCTCCGGGCTGAAGGGTAATGCCCGGTGCTGAGAGTGATGGGGGGGAGCCCCGGGCCTGGGACCAAAACCTGCCTCGTTCCCAGCCTCCTCCTGCCAGGCCTGGCGCGGACCTGAAAATCCAATCAGTGAACAAGCGGCTGCCCTGTGCCCAGGGTTGGAGGAAGCCAGGCCGCCGCGCAATCTGCCCATCGATTCGTTCCAATTCAGTTACCTTTGAAGAGGGCCATTAAAGGCTTTTTAACCAGACACGAGACGGCAAAGGGAGTGGCGGTGGCTGGGGAGCAGTCACGAGCCTCGCGTCCGCTCTCCCCCTCCCTCCCCCCTCAAATTGCTTGATCTGATTTAGGTGCGTGGCTAATTTTAGAATGAAACAGATGTGACCTTGCCACGGCCAAGCAGCTGCAGCTCAGGGCAGCCACGCGCCCAGCCTGGCAGGTTCCCCCACGCTGCCGTGCACCCCATGCTAGGCCTGGGCAACAAGCAAGGCCCTGGCACTGGCCTTGTTCGGGGCTATGCCCTGGCAGCCTCAATGCCGAGGACAGGGGAGGTGCACAGCACACAGGGCCCCTGCACCTGCCATGGGGGCTGGCTTGGATCTCATGGATGAGCCCAGAGAGCTGCCAGACTTTGTACCAAGCCGTGTCCCCTGGGCACATCCTTTGGCCCAGCTGCCCTTAGCCCTTAGCAGGAGGCAGCCCCTTTAGTGGGTCTTCCACGGGAAGGCGCAGGAGGACACGGGGGCTGCAGTGCTGGAGGTTTGTCTGGCGCCAAGACAAGCCTAAAGCCTCCTTCAGTCCGGAGAATACTGACTGCCCTCAGCAGGGACCTGGGGGGAGCAGATCAGGGGCCTGTTTTGCTCCTGGGAACAGGCATGCGCTGGCTTCGGACATCAGTGAGGGAGCCCGTGCCCGCCTGCACCCCAGGCCCCTTTGTCACTCGCTGCAGGATCGATGCACTAATGCGATACGACTGGCACAGCAGCTCGGGGATGAGGTCGGGGGCAGGAATAGCAGGGGGCAGGCAGCAGCAGAGCTGTGTGCAGGGAGCCCGGGACTGCAGCAGCAAGGAGCTCCTGCTGGTCCAGGCTGAGATACGCTGGCTGAGCTGGGCCCAGGACTGGAACAGCAGGGCTGGGAGGGTCGCCATGGCCCATCCAGTCCAACCCTGCCCAAGTGCAGGACCCGCTGTTTCCAGACAGACCTCCCCCAGCCTTGTCCCAAAAACCTCCGAAGGGCGTGCCCAGGCTGCTTGCTCCATCGCCCTATTTTTCCCACAGCCGAGGACCTTGAGCATCTTGGTATAAGCTACTCAGACCATTTCCTGCTGCTGTTTGATCCCTCAGCTATAAAGACTGCAGGTCATGGGGGGAAGCCAGTGCCTAAGATAACGCTCTAGCAGCGCACCGAGCACCCAGTAATCTTACAGGAGCCACAGGCTTCGCTTAGAAAACACTCATGTTTGGAAGAGCAGGGATGGTAGCACCACAGACGGAGGAGAGAACTGCTGAGCTGCACAGGCCAGGCCACCTGGCATTGCAAAGCCGCCCTGGGGCATCAGGGCAAATTCACCTGTTGTTTCCACACTGAAGCTGGCCCACAGCCCCTCCCCTTCCCACAGGCACTCAGACCTGCTCACATCAAGCTGAGTTATGTGCTGCCATCTGAGCCACGAAGCACTAACACGGAGCTGGTCCCTAGCCCCATGCACAGACCTCCACAAGATGCAACCCGCTGAGATCCACCCCCGAAGGCAGAACGACAGCCCCAACCATGTCTCTTGGAGAGCAGCGGCCCTGCCGCCTCCCAGCCACTCTGCGCGCCAACCGCGTTTAGCTGCAGGCAGATCAATAGGATTTAATTATGAGCAGTGCTGATCAGGCTGCTTATTAAGTCCATGCTAGAACGGCACAGAAATCACAGGAGACATGGATCAATTCCACCATCACTTCCACATGCGGAGGTGGATCTCCTGCCTAGCACTCTCCGAGCCGCTCGGAGCCAGCCCAGGGAGTTCATGCTGGAGCCCAGGGGTCCCACAGCTCATCAGGCTGTGCCAATATTTGCCGGAAACACCCGAGAGCCCCTACCAGATGCTCCTGGCCCCTCTCTGCCGGGGATCTTGCAGCAGCAGAATATTCCTGTGTTTCGAAACACTGAAATCAGAGACACGGGGCAGCAAGGGGCTCTTCACAGAAGCTCTGGCTGCCCACGGCAGGCTGGGCAGCTGGGAAAACCAAGCCAGCAGCGACACAGCCAAGGTCACACCGTGGTTAGGGATGGGCTGCCCTGCTGCCTGCGCTCGTAGGTACACAGGCCCTCCTAGACGCTGTCCTCCCTGGGCCACACGGGCCCTGCTGGGAGGGCAAGGCCTGTGGAGTCCAGCCGAGGACACGCTCAGAGCAAAGCAGGGGACTTCCAGCAGCCTGGCTGCCAGTCACGCTAACCTGGGCAGCTGAAGGCAGGGCCCTGTAGGGCCTCCACCCGCCTGCCGTGCCGGTTCACTACAGGCGTGCCAGCTGCACCGCAGCCCTTCCCTTCCCAAATGCTGCCCGGAAGCCAGTGAAGTTACTGGCTGTGGATTTGGGACAGCTTGCACTGGACCGATGTCGGAGGAAAGCAGGGGAGGGCTGGCAGTGCAGAGAGACCTGGATAAATGGAAAAAGTGCCAGTGCCTGTTTGAGGGCCTGCACCAGCCCAGTTACATCAGCGTGGCATTTCTGAGCCTGGCCTGGCTGGCCCCCTCCCGTCTCCTCTGCACGGCCATGAGGAAGGACCTGCCTTGTCTGCACACTTGAGCTAGCAACGACAATCCTTCTCCATGACCCTGATGCCCCGCTGGAGCTGCACAGGGACCCAGCCACTACCACTAGCATTACTCTGTCTTGCAGTCGTCCCACAGCGGCGCCGCACAGACAGACAGACGGCCCCTCTCTGAGAGCTTGCCCTTGTGGCCAGGGGGTGGTGGGTCCATCTAGAAGTGACTGATACTGTGCTCAGCAGCTGTTGCGTCTCCCGGGTGCATCACATGCGTGCGCCACCCAGGCTCTCTGCGGCTCAAGTCAGAGGAACGGGTCCTGTCCCCAGCCGGACTACGCTGGCTTAACCGCAAATCATTTGTTAGCCCTTCTCTGCCATCCGCAAACCACCCTGAACATGGAGCACAGCCCGTCCAGGCAACAGCTCATTCGTTCTGGCAGCGTTTCCATCCATCGCAGCCCATCCCCATCCCCATCCCCATCCCCACACCAAGGAACCCAGCCAACCCCAACCCCGCTGGTGACACGGCGACGACTGCACTGGATGCTGTGCGGTCAGGCTCGCCTTGGGCAAGTGCTCAAGGGACTGCCCCCTTTGGGCACCCGGTGCTCCCTGCCAGGAGCCCTCGAGCCCAGGATTGCCCTGTTCTGCATGCCAGGGAAGCCCTGGCATTTTGTAGGCCCTACTGCAAACAAACAGTAACCGAGCAAGCACCTCCAAAGGCAACAGATGAACTAGCATCAGGTGGGGCCCACTGGCTGTCCAGCCTGCCCACATTTCCCAAAGGACTGCCAGAGAAAGGGTTAAACCCACTGTGAGATATCTACCAGGATATGCCCAAGAACCAGCTCAGCCCCCTCCGACCCTGCGCAGAAGATAAAAGGGCTCAGGAGAGACACTCGAGCAGATAGACAATGGCTGAAGATTAGACTACGTAGAGAGGAGCAGGGATGGGTCAAAGGGAAGGGAAAGAGAAGGAGATTTTCTTTATGGGGAAAACCGGGGCTTCCAGGGCTGCTAAAATCCTGAGAAGTTTGAAATGCCAGCTGCAAGGGTGGGGGGAGCTGCCAGCAGCCATTGTGGTGCAAGGGTCCAGACTGTGCAGAAGCCGACACCATGGCTGTGCCCCGGTTGAGGGCTGGGACTGTACAAAAACAACACCGGCTGCTTCCCTCTTTCCCTCCCTCGCCCCCCACCCTTCCTCCAATTTATTGCAGCTTTGAGGACGACATGGGCTAATCACAAAGCCCTGCCCAGTGACTTCAGCAGCGGGAGGGGAGAATCGCCTCCCAAAGCAGCGAGCGGGAGTCAGCCGGCCAAGCCATGGAGGGGGCAGTCACGGACACATGGGAGATCACTGTCCAGGTCTGGCACCGTAGCTGCACCCCATGCAGGCGGGGGCTGGAGAGCTCCTGGAGAGACGGAGGGGACGGAGGTGAGGCCGTGGCGGAGCCCTGGTGCCTCTGGTGCTTACAGGAGGTTTCCCCACTTTGAGAGTCAAGAGGACGCCCCTTCCTCTCAGCCTCAGCCCGACAGGCTGCAGCGCGATGGCTCTGCGGGAGGCCGGGGCAGCCCAGCCTCTGTGGTGCTCGAAGAGCGAGGCCCCCTCGCGTCCATCGCCAGCTAATCTAGGGCTCTACGGCTATGCCAAGCTCTGCTACAGAGGCTACGGTTGTGAGGATGGGGAGGAGACCTCTTACCTTTCGGTGCGCAAGCTTGGGCAGCTTTCCCCAGACAAGAGGTGGAATGAGAGCAAGCAGATGGTGAGAGAAACAAAACAGAAGAGTGAGAGAGTGAGAGCGGGAAGGAAATGGATGGTGGAGACAGGGAGAGGAGGTCTGAGCCTAAGGCCGTGCAGGGGCGGCTCCTGCCCCCGGCTCAGGCAGCGGTTCTCTGTGGGGCAGCTCCAGCACAGCGTGGACCTCGGCGCCTGTGCTCCCTTGGCCGGCAGGCGAACCGGCCGTAGTGGCTGGGGAGGAACAGGGGCTCCCGGGGGGGCACCCAGGCTTCCTGCCAGTGCGCCCACAAAGCCAGGCCCCGGGGAGCTGGCGGCACTGTTGGTCCTGCTTTCCTCATCACCAGAGCCCTCCTCTGGGCCTGCCTCCAACCCTGGCACTATCTGTCCTGCTGCCAAATCCCAGGATAAGAGCCCGCATCTCTCCAACCGCGAGCGATTTAGGGAGTGGAAAGGGAGAGGGTGAGTCCCCTCTGGAGAGGGGAGGAGGGGCTGGGCAGGGGCTCACAGTTGCTGCTGATTCAGCCAGAGGACAGGGCCGGACGCAGCTCTCAGCACAAGGCCCAGGGCGGCTTGGCCGCCAAGTCCTGGGAGATTTGCTTCCTTTGGCAGCCTGGAGCCAGACAGCCTGAGGGACACGCGGCAGCGGTGGCCGTGTTCAGCGTTTGCTGCCCCAGGGCTGCAGATCCAGCCCTTTTCCACCTCCTCTTCCAGGACATGGGGAGCTGGGCATGGTGCCTCCTGCCAGTCCCGGGGCCGGGCGGGAAGGCAGCTGACGGACAGCCCTCTGCTCCGCCATGCTCATGCAGGTGGGGATATGCCAGCCTTGGCATCTGACGGCAAGCCAAGGAAATGCCTGGTGTCTGCCAGCTGTTTGCAGAGGCCACCTCTGGAGCAAGCAGCTGATCCAACATGCTGACGCTGCGCTGCCTGACGGCGAATGGCCAGCCTCCTCCCAGCTGAGATGACACCAGGCCCACGCCCGGCTCCGAATTACGTGGGAAGAGAGGGGGAGGGCAGGTGCTTAGCTCAGCAAACCCCAGCTCCAGCCCCTTTGCTGTGTCCTTCACAGCTCTACCCTGGGCTCAGGCCCCGTGGTCATCTCCCGACCCCCTCTGCCAGCCGCTCCCCACCTCCGGAGCAAAGCATCCACCGCTCTCCCAACAGGATCTGCTGTTTGCAGGAGACACCCCCAGCCCGTCTCTGGTCCCTGCTGCTTCCCCTGCGTGTGTCGTTTCTGGCATGATGGGGCCTAGATGCTGCCCGCTGCAGAGGACTGCGACCGAGGAGCACAGACCAGGGAGATGAAGAGGGAAAACAAAGGAAGGGGGGAAAAAGTGCAAACCAGCGAGAGGAAGGAAAGAGAAGGGAGAAGCCAAAGGAGAAAAAAGAGAACTAGAGCAGGGAGATGGAGACCTGCCAGGTCCAAGCGAGTGATTGCTTGTCCCCCTCCTCACTCCCCCTTCCAGCCACCCTGTGCCCACGCTCCCGCGAGTGCCACAGTGGGCTTGGCCCAGCACCACGTCCACATCTCTATTTAATTCTAGCAAATACTTCAAGAACGGCAGCACTGGAGCCCATGGCTGAGCACAGGCGGGCGAGCAGCCATGGGAGGCCGGGCAGAGGTCGGGCAATGTGTGTATACGGAGGCCTGCCGACAGAGACGTACCTTGGCTCTGTTGATTGTGCAGTGGAGCGCGTTGTTCTCCTGATCGTACAGCAGGCTGAAATCCAACGTCCCCAGTGTGGCTGTAAAAGAAAAGAGGCCGTGATCAGCCTGTCACCCCGGAAGGGATTGCTGCCAGGTTATGGGCTTGTGGGGGTGCGAGCAGCTCCCAGCAACAGCCCCCTCCCCGGTCAGCCTGCTGCGAACCAGCCAGCGAGCCTGGTGCTGCGCTGCGCTGCCATGAGGGTCCTGGCACCTCCGGCCATGCACACACAGCTCCGTGGCCCCAACCCCGTGGGTACAAGAAGCCTCCTGTGGCTCTGGTGGGAGCAGGACAGGGCTCGCAGGCCTGCAGGGGAAGGCAACACCTTGGCTCTGGCGAGGCACTAACGTGTGCAGCTGACACCACGCAGCTGCCAGTCCACTCCGCGTGAACCCACAGCCGTGCCCAGGCAGCGAGGCACGCGAGGCTGGGCACCCCTGGGGAGAGTCCCCGCTGCCCCGGAGCTTCTGCTGGAGTGGAAGCCATGCCTGGCCCTTCCCTTCCCTGGTGATGGCACAGAGTCCACCTGGCCACAGCCCTGTGGGCTGACAGGCGCTGCAGCTGGGGCAGCCACCACCCACCCCCCAGGAAACCACCTCCCCTGCCCCTCCTCGCAGGCCCTACTGTCCTGTCGCAGGCTGGGGCAGGCTGGGGACCCCAAGCCCAGAGACCCCTGCACTCCCTGCTGCCACGGCTGCTGCCTGCTCTACAAGTGGCCCGGCGGCCTCTAGCGGCCATGGCGGGAACATCGGGCCAAACCCGCGTGGAGGGCCTGTGCCTGCAGCCTGCCAGCGGGAGCTGGGCTGGCATGAGGGGCCATGTGCATGGGGAGCGGTGAGCTCCTCGCGGGGCATGCACAGCACCAGCACAGCAAAGAGCCGCAGGCCTAAAGAACAAGCCCGGGAGCTGCCAGGCCAGGGACCACCAAGGGCCGGGAAGGATCTGCACTGGGACAGCGAGGGGCTACTGTCCTGTGGCTTTTCTGGGAGCAGGGGCTCTCCGTGGCTTGCTCTGCCCCTGCAGAGGGGCAGGCTAGTACAGGGAGCCTCGTCGGCATTGAGGGCTGTTTCCTTGCCCACTAGCCCCCATCTGATCAACTACGAGGAGCATTAGGAAGCAGCAAGTCCCAGAGCACCTCCCGGGTCTCAGCCGCGCGCCCAGAGCCTCCTCTGCCCCTCGGACGCTAGCAGGGATCTGCAAACCCAAGCAGATAGCGAGAGAGGTCCCCGTCTGTCTCCGGCCGCGGGGATCTCAATGACTGTGTCGACACCGCAGCACCAACACTGGCAGCAAATACACCACCTCCTGCTGCTGTAACTGCCCGAGCTCCACTGACTTCACTTTGCCCACAGAGAGTCCAGCTCATCCCCCTCCGGTGCCCTGGAGCCGGCCCGTTTCTGTGCGCTTCATGTTCAGTGTGCAGCTCCCACGCACTGGCATTTTGGGCCTGGGCTGCCACTAAGTTTCACATGCATCACCCCTGAATGCTGGATCGTCCCTGATCCCTGAATCACATGCATCATCCCTGATCCCACACTGCCCTGGACAAAGAGCAGCGAGAGCAATTAACAGCCCAGCCATCTGGCATGGGCGCTGCACAGCATCCCCTCGACGGCAGATGGCTGCAGCACTGGAGCATGACCTCCATCCAGCCTGACACCGGCTGCAGACTTCCCTCCGTGCTTGGCAGCTGCAGGCAACAGGTGCTGCATCAACCGCGCGCTCCCCTCGGGAGCCAAGATGAGGACACAGCTTCCTCCGCGCCATGCGCCGTGGGGAGAAGAGAGGATCCCCGAGGAGAAGCAGGAGGCTGGCAGGCCCTCGGGAGGGCTGGGGGTCCAGCCACCCTCTGAACCAGCACACGCAGCTCTTTGGCTCACCAGCCCAGCAGGGTTTCCGCAGCTTTCTCAGCCACCTGCTCCAGTGCCTAACCACCCTGGCCTCATGTCTGACCCAGTTTAAGCCCCTGACTTCTTGCCCAGTCCTCTGAGAACTACCGATGGACCACCCTCCTTTTTATAACAGCCCTCCGTATCCAAGGACTGCCATCAGGCCCCACCCTGCATGTCCTCTTCCCTGTGCTGTATCAGTTCAGCTCTTCCAACCTCCCCTCCTGTCATCTACACTTACCTCCCAGACCCCCCATCCCTGCAAGGCTGTCACCCACTGACAAGCGTCTCCCACACAGAAGTCCTGGTTCCCCTGCTTCGTGTCCCTTCTCCGGGCTGCTGGCCCACGGTGCAGCCAGAGGCACTGTCCGTCTGGCCGACCAGCTCTGCGCCGGGCTCCCCAGGAAGGACGCGCGGCCACATGCTGCAACACGGCCGAGAGACACTGAGCGAGGGACAGACGCAGCTGGGCCTGGAGAGGCAGGAGCTGGGAAATGCATTCAGCTACTGCTCTTGGGATCCCGTTTGCCTGAAGGCAGCCAGCAGTGCCTGGTCCTGCTGGGGAGCCCTGGGGTTTAACAGCCCCCCACACAGAGGGCTTAGGGCTGCCTGCAAGCATCACTGTGCCATGGCAGTGTCTAATCCCCAGAGGCTGGGGGGGCCTTGAGCAGCAGGATCCATCCCCTCTGGCTGAGAGGAGCAAACACTGCGAGATGCCCGTCATGGGTAGGTGACAGGTCCCCACAGTCGAGAGGGCACGTGGCACTCCCTGCAGCAGGAGATAAGCAGCCTCTACAGGGACTCCAAATCCCACCCAACTGCTCTGCTCAGATATGTGAACGAACGGCCAACTCCCGTGTTCGCAGGTGTCCCGTGTGTCAGTCCTGCGTGCACAGAGCCAGACCTGCTCCTATGTGCCTGTGTTCAAAGCCACAGACCAGCGCGCTGAAATGCCGGCATCACACCTGGGCTCGCTGCCATCCCGCCTGGTATAAACAGAGTGAGCAAGTGTGGAAAGCAAGTACACCTCCCACCGAGCAGGGGCACTGGGGCTCTGTTCACAGGGCCAGTTTGGCCCCAGATTTTAAACTACACCTGAGAAGGTCATAAACCCACTTGCAGTTCAGCAAATAACATCATTCTCTTTCAATTGCCCATCCCCGGTGAGACCTGCAGCCAAGACACTGCGGTGAATGGACAGACTTGTGCTGGACCCAGAAAGCCCTGGAGCAAGCTGAGGGCTAGCATTCACACAGGGAAAAGCTCTCTGTAAAACCATACGAGCATCCAGCACCCAGCCCTCCCCAGTGCACGCAGCATGATTTTCCCCCCGTTCAGGCTGTGACTTGTTCGCTCTCAAGATGCCCCAAGGTTTCTTTCAGGTCTCAGCACCCACACAAGCTATTCCGCAAGCGCTGAATGCTGCACTTGCTATTCAGGCCAGTTCCCTTTGCAGCCACGTCCTCAGCCAGATGTGACTTGCACATGACGGGCATCGAAGAAGCGGGCAGCGACAGCAAGAGGTTCTGGTCCTGGCCCACCGAGCGTTTGACCTTTTCTAGTGGGATTCACGTCAGATCCTCTCCAAGAGTGAGGAAAGCAGTGCCATGCTCCAAACCAGGTGGCAGCATTCAGTGCCCAGGAAGTGATCTCTGCAGGGAGTGTGTCAAGTGCCTTTGGCCCGTGGGCTGAGCAATTATATCAGCATAAGATCATTAGCATTACTCAGATGGCAGGGAGGAGTGGGCTCCAGCCAAGCCTTGCACAGCCCTCCAAGCTGTGGCTATAATTAGCTGCATGCTCCCTGGTAAACAGGCGAACGGACGTACGGATCTCGTTCCCGTTGCACACTATCAACCAGTGGCTAGCATGAGCCAGCAGACCTTGGCGCTCCTTGCTGAAGTCCCTGCCCAGAGTCAGGGCCTGCCAGGGAACAGACGCATCTGCTGCTGAGATCCCCAAGTCCGACCGTCCCGAGCTCAGCTAGAGGGTCCCCCATTTCATCCCAACAAGAGCAGCGTCTGCACTTGATGGATTTGGTGATTCAGAATTTAAATTACAGGCTTGGCTCAAAAGTGAACTTGGGCCAGGGGATGGTGACAGCCCCGAGCGCCTCTTTGCCCTCACAGAGATGTCCCGTTTGCAGCAGGGCAGACAAAACAGGGAGGCACCGCAGCACTGAAGCAGATGCTTGCCTGCTTCTACGCTGCCTCTCAGAAAAGCCCAGTGTGCCTGGAGCAGCCGTCTGTCTCCTTGGCAGATGGATTAGGCCTTTTCTCTGTCCTGGGGCTTTCTGTGGTCTGGGGAACGGAAGGGTTACTTGCATCCATCCTGCTCCATGGTGCTACCGAGGCTGCCGGCAGGCAAGCTCCAAGCCGGCAGTGCACAGCCCAGCTGCACCCTAAGGGCAGGGCAAGAGGAAGCAGCAATGCTGGGTCAGAGCAGCAGATGGGACGCAGGAGGTATGGGTCCTACCCTGCCGTACTTAACCCAGCCCCTATCACCAGGGGCATCTCCCCACCTCTAATGGATCCGTCTTCATGTCCCCTAGGCCTCAGGGCAATGCCATCATCTATTTCCATGAGGAATGTCGGTGCCCAGCTCTCACTGAAAGCAGCATATCCAACCCAAGAGCATCGCCCAGCTGCCACCTGGATAACGGCACCCCAGGGGAAGCACTCCAGGGAATCACAAGTGTAACTATTTGGCAGTGGACCCGATGGGCGGCACGTTCCTAGCTGAGCATACCGACGTCACAGAAAAGCAGCAGGCAAAGCCAAGAACAAGCAGCGTATGTGGACCCCTTTCTCGTGTCACCTGCGTGCCATTCGCCGCAGTATGCCAGGTTCCACAGGAGCATTTCTGTGTTTCCGGAGAAGAGGGTTACAGGCCAACTGTAGAGACTCTTGACTCCACTACAAAACTCCCCAAGACGTCTGCAAGCTCTGGACAAGCCTCTTCACCCAGCTACAGGATCTCTGCTTGTTCTGATACTTTCTGCCCATTTTTATCCATCTTTGCATATGAGAGGGAAATTAAGACAGTCCTTTTAATTAGAGAAGTGAGCATCTAAATGACAAAAGGGCAGCAATTAGATCAGGAAAACATTCAACCTCTTCAAGGCCTTTCTGACACTAACCTTTCATCAGAC